CCATCGGCCTCCTTCCCCTCCTCCTCTCTCCTTCTTCCTCCTCCCTCCATCTCTTTTTTTCTATTTTTTACTATTGTATAATTTAGTTTTTTTACTGTTTTTAGTAAGTGTTTAAAATAATTAGTAAGTAAATTAATAAACTAGTTGAACTAGTTTGGTTTTAGTAAGAACTAGTTGAATTAATAGAACTAATGTATTTTTGACGACGCGGAGAAGGAGGAGGCTGGCTACTCGGGCGAGCCAGCGCAGGCGGAGAAGGAGGCGGAGTGCCGCCACGCGCCGGAGAAGGAGGCTGAGTGCCCTGATCACTCGCCGGAGGAGGCGGAGGAGGAGGAGGAGTGCCCTGACTCGCCGGAGGAGGAGGAGGAGGCGGAGGCGACCAGTTCGGAAGGTTGATGAGCTCCTTCCGCCATAGGCATGGAGTCTTCAGAGAAGAACCCAGCCGAATCTCCCCTTCACCCGTAGGGTGGTCAAGCTGAAGGTCCTCAAATCCGTCCGTTGTTTGATCCACCATCACCCTAGCATATCCTTCTGGAATCGGCTGGCCGTGGTAGGTTGAGCCAGGTTCATTTGGTATAACAGAGCCAACAGCCGCCTTGACTTTCAATGCCATCCATCGCGTCATAAGGTGGCAATGTTGAGACTCCGTGATAACATCCATGGGGTAGCTAGCAGGAGCTGTGAAGACAGGCTCCAGCTGCTGAGTCTGCTCGGTGGAAGCCATGCTGCTTCTCCGCTGAGATAGCGAGGTAGCTTCAGGGGAAGCTTCGGCAGGTCGTTTGCTGCGATCTACTTCTCGTTCCTCTAGCCCTTGTACCCTTTCGTGCAGCGCCTGCAGTTGGCTATGCTTCACTTTCTTCCTCCTCTCCTGGGTTTTGTAACCCCCTGCGTCCGGAAAGTCAGCCTTCCACGGAATGGAGCCTGGCGTGCCTCGTGTCCATCCAGGGTGCTCAGGATTCCTGAGGGCCATTGTGAGCTCGTCATTCTCTCAGTCTGGAACGAACGTCCCTTGCTGCGCTTTCTCGATATACTCCTTAAGCCTTGTGACGGGTATTCGCAGTTGCTCTTCCGTCCAAACGCACTTTCCTGATACAGGGTCCAAGGTTCCGCCAACCCCGAAGAACCAAGTACAACAACGGTCTGGCCAGTTCAATGTCTCTGGTTCGACCCCTTTAGCAATCAGGTCATTCTCAGCCTTGTCCCACAAAGGTCGGGCTTTGAGGTAACCACCTGACCCAGTGCGATGGTGATGCTTCTTCTTCGCAGCATTAATCTTGTTTGTCGCTGACATCTTCTTACTTTTTTCCGATGTCTTGTGGGCCACAAATGCAGGCCATTGATCTCTGATCTTCTCATACTTTCCGATGAATTCTGGTGTCTTTTCTTTGTCGACAAACGTTTTCAGCTCATTCTTCCACCTCCTGAATGGTTCTGCCATCTTCTTAAGAGCATGAGACTTGATCAATTGCTCTTTAACTGGCTTCTCCGGATCCTCCTCTGGCGGTAGGGTGAAATTTGCCTTAAGCATTGTCCAAAGATCTTCTTTCTGCATATCGGAGACATAAGACACCTCAGGGTCTTCCTTCTTAGGCTTTAACCATTGCTGGATACTGATCAGGATCTTGTCCCTCACAAGAACCCCGCACTGAGCACGAAATGCATCCCTTGTCCGTATGGGTTCAGTCGGCTTGCCATCGCGCGCGATTGCTGTGATCTCAAACCTTTCATCCGAGCGCAACTTTTTCTTCGGGCCTCGTTTCTTTACCAAAGTTGAGCTTGATCCGGAGGGCTAGAGAAAAGAAGAAAGACGAGAGTTAATTAATATGTGTACATATGAAAAAAATGAATGCATCAATTAACTAGTCAGCACGGGCTTAACTAATATATATATATATATATATATATATATATATATATATATATATATATATATATATACCTGGCCGGACTCGGTTCGGTCACCGGAGCCGTCATCACGGTCTCCTTCTTGTACCTCCATTGGGTCACCGGAGCCATCATGAACATAGCCCTCTTCTTGTACCGGCATTGATGGGTCACCGGAGCCATCATAATCATAGCCTTCTTCACTACCCCGTCCTTCCTGACCATCGGTGTCGTTGAGAAACGACACAACGACATCACTTCCTTGTGCGATTATGTCCCCCAACATCGCTTCTGTTGCTTCGTCTCAGGGGTGCTCCATAGTTTCTGCAAATATTTACAACATGTCAATTATTATTCAAACATGACAGATGGATATATATTAATGATAAACGTAGAACTAGCTAGCTAATCACAATAAGGAATTATATTAGTGGCCTTGACGCTGCTTCTCTAGGGTTTGGGGTGGCCTCGACGACAACGCTCCTTTAACTTGGTAAATTTGGGTGGCCTCGAGAGAGTTTATCAGATAGGGACGCGGCGGGAGGGGGTACGAGACCGACATCGTTTTTTCTCTAGGGTTTGGGTGTCCTCGAGAGTTCTGGTCGAAAGAAGAAGAAAAAAAAGGAGAAGAAGGAATAGAGGAGTAGAAGGAATAAAGAAGAAGAAGGAATAGACACAGCCGCAAAGCAAAGTGCCAAATATATGTTCCAACCGCCTGTTTGACGGGGTTCCCGACCTTGACAGGTTCACATACAACAGCCTTGTCATTTTTACCAGTTTACTCCTGCTTGCTCATCCATTTACTAGGGGCCTCTCCCTATTCTGAACCAGCACAATTACATTTTCAGTTATATACTATGGCTGGCCTCAAAAGAAACCCATCCTGTTGCTGTTACAATAGAGCTAACTGAAACAGATTTTGCTCAGCAAATGTCATAAGTAGCCAAGCAGTGGAACCACAAGACGAGGTAACTACTCAACATACATGGAGTATTCTTCCAACCACATGTTAAGAACAAAGATCCGAGACACACACGCAGTAACTGCTCCAGTTACATATCATAATGATTCCCAATTAGTTGATCCAGAAAAGGTTTTAATAAAGACAGTTCATACTGTTATCACGCACTAGACAAAATGTAGTCAACTAATGCCCTTGCTCAATGCCGTCCCTCCTCAACCTGTCCGAATTGGGGATTTCAGAAAAGTTCCCGGATTAAAAAAATTCCAATTTTGAAAAAAGTTCATGCATTTAAAAATGTTCATGGATTTCGAAAATGTTCACAAATTTAAAACATGTTCATGAATATCACAAAATGCTTGACGGTTCAAAAAACATTCGCAAATTTGTAAAATTGTTCCCAAAACTAAAACAAGTTCATCGATTGAAAAGATGTTGATCCCCGAACACTCTCGTTCTCTTTTTTTAAACTAAGGAAGACGGTTTAGACAAAAGTCATGAAGTGGCGAAAATAAAACGTTTACTCGCTTTGCTCCCGCCAAAGCTCAAAAGACATCTCCTTAACCTCCGTGCACCGGTTTACGTTTTCAATGTACCGATAACGAAAAATATTAGTATTAAGCAGCGTATTGTGCACTAGTTCATTTATTTTACACTAGACTGTTTTGCGAAATTGCAAGAGACTGCAATTATAGTGGATCTTTGATTACCAGCAAAGGACACTTGTAAACAATTTCTCACATATATATCAAATATATGCACATATATGGTGGTGGAAGGACAGGATTTTTTTGGGAAGGTTTTAAGGACAAGATTACATTGCATAAACATATATAAGCGCATCAGAGTGGGTATGTCAAAACTGAACAAACATGATCAGCCGAAGATCAGCAATTCGGGTGGTGAACCAAAGATAGGTGCATGCTCTTCCCAGCTATGAAACCAGCTGACAACATTTACATAATGAGCGGTCAAATGGATCAAGCACCCACATATCATGTATGTGCTTGTTATACTGAAAACTGTAACTATCATAATCTCTTCTAAATTCAAATTGTGCATCTCTTGAAGCTTTGTTATCCAGCTGTAGTCGCCTGTGCTGATTAGCCATCCATTTCTCATTGCAGGTATTACCGCAAACACCAAATTTCATTACCTCAAGTACCTTCGCATTCAGGACAAAGAACTTGGCGAAGTTAACATCTGGTCTCTTGCCTTCATAGGTTTTCAATACTATTGCTCTGAGATGGAGTTCAAGGCATTCAATAGGATCAAGTGTGTCATATTGTCGCACATTTTTCATACCCATCCTGAGATGTGACTGCAAAATGATAAATAAAGCATAAACGTCACTAGATCGCAATAAAAAGAGTAACTGTTTTGCAGGCAAAGAGCTATTTCCTCATCGCTGGCTTCCAAATATCTAATCATATTTGGATTAGTTGCATGATTTGCGAATTTAGGATTATTGAACAATGTAGTCCCCTAACACGTTATTTTAACTTCAACTAAGGCATCTTACCACTACATTTGCCATCTTAAAATTTGCGGAAAATGACCCAAATTTTTATACTGCTGAAGTTAATTTAACAAGAGTGTACTAATTTTTTTCTTATTTCCATATGTCCAGATTAGGCGTCAAGAGAGATACGAGCAATCAAAATTAAACTCCACGTAATTAGTTTTACTGGTAAGTTTTTTCTGCAGTGATTAGCATTTAGCAACAAAGATTTCACCTGGATGTACAACTTCTCTATGCAGGGAAAGTATCTAAGGAATCCAACAACAACATCCAGATTGGGGCCAATAGAATCTAGAACCAAGATCCTCACTGTGCGCACTGAAGTAGTCAAGCTGATGGAGATAATTTCCTGGAGAAAATGAATAATATATGTCAGGCTACGATGCAAATAAGAACGCCCGAATGCGAGTTTCAAGAAGGCTTGTTTTACCTTAGCAATTATGGTTCCAAGCTCAAATTCGGAGATTCTGGGAGTCAGGTAGCCCAACACTGCCAATTTTGGTGCGGCGATGACCCTACTTGTTCTTGGACCCTCTTTACCTAGTTGGATCAATCTTTCAAGGCATGGTGCATACTCAATAATAAGCTCCACCATATCTGCTTGGTTATGAACATAGACAACAATACTCCGGAGAGTCAACGAGACGATCCGGACGATTCTGATCCCATGGATACTCTGAAGATCAAGGCTCTCGAGCACAGTGCAGCCAAAAAGCAGGCGGTGGAGGGCCAACTCCGAGATGGCAATGTCGTAGAGTTTGAGCTGCTTCAACTGAGGGAGAAGAAGCGTGGGGGCAATATCAATCCTAGATAAATCGCAGCCGCCGATGCTGGCGAGCCGCAAAGTAGGCACGAATCGGACCACAGAAGGAGGCACCAGGCTTTGCGAATTTCTCCCATAGAAGTCGAGCTCCTCGAGGCCATTGAGGGCAGGGGACCGGAACCAACCGTCAAACCTGGCATACAAGTTGTTGTGGAGGCAGATGCTACGGAGGGAAAGGTGACGGGCTGGTCCAGGATGCGCAGCGAGGATCTTGGAGATGATGGCGGTGCAGTCACGCTCTTTCCAGGACCTTTTGAGCAGAAGGTTGTAGTCTATGACAAGGTTGAGTGGGGCTGAGCGCCAGAGGTGTCGCCACCGGGAGGAGAGAATGGGTATCCGTGCAGCCTCTTTAGTGGGGAGGAGGGAGATGATACTGCCAAGAATCTCGTCAGGGAGGCGGCTGATGAGGTCAAAGTTCTCGTAGCCACCATCCTTGTTTGCCGAAGGCTCTTGCAATTCCAGCTTGTCCCGCCTCCGCTTCTTGGACAAGGAAGCCACTACATTGTCCATGACTTCTGCCACAAAAACATCAGCAAAAAATCAAAAACATTTTTGTTTGAAAGAGCACAGGAACACAAGTATTTTAGCCACCACAACTTGAACCTTTCATTTATGAACGTACGGCATAGTTTGGACTTTGGAATGAGAATAGTTTACAGATGTAAACACATGTCAAAAGAATATTCACACACAAATTAACTCCGATCTAGGAATTGACCAGCTCTATGGCTACAAAGCATGTGCAGCCCAATAGACAAAACGACTCATTGCTCATATGTATATACTGCCATGCAAGAAAATCGTTCGCGCGTATACAGACTTAAGTGACTCAAACGGCAAAATTTCTGTAACACGATCTGTGTTGCTGCTGATTCCAGTGATTGTAGGCATGTTTATGGCAAACCAACACATACATAGCTCTCTCGGCCAAATAATACCAGATTTGGCCCAAGACTTTGGCAAACTGAAACATTGCATGCCTCATGAAAGTAAATGTATAGTACATGAAAGATAGGCCAATAAGTAATTTCTAGGTTCACAGTTTGGCAAACAAAATATAGTAATTCTTTTGTATGCACTTTCACAGTCAAAATTAAGCGGAAGATTTGTGCTTCAACTTGTTTCATAAATTCTACCATTATTAGCTATAAATTTGAGGATCTACCCTCCCCTGGGCTTCCCTCTGTTGGTTCCCATCAGATTGCTAACAGCAGGTGAATATAATAGGCACGAAGCAAAGATTCTAGATGGAGCAAGTTCCCATCAGATGTGGGAGGGACTCAAAGACACGTCAGTCGCAACACAGTATTACAACTTTACAAGCTCTTACCCGAGTAGCCTCCAGCCGCCGCCGCCGCCGCCGCCGCGCACGCGTTGCCGGCGACGATGTGCCTGACCTGAACCTGGCGATGGAGGTGGGTCGGCGGGGGACGAGGGTTTCCCGTCCGGGTAACGCAGTGGTTTCTTAACGCTGGGTGTTGGTATTGGGCCTACATCTGTAGCGGGCCTAAATCCCACCGCGGTCTAAGAGCATCTCACAGCCGCGCCGCAAATTAGTCCGTTTTAGCACGCGCGCAACGCGGTGGGTCGCTCCAGCGGGCACGCAAAAAACGGCGCGCGCGCTATAATGAGTTGGGCGCGCGGTCAAAAGCACTATTCCCGCGCGGTCTATTTCGGGCGCCCGCTACCGCGCGCGGCACACTCGAGCGCTCGCGCTCCCACTTCCACCCCATTCGGCCGCGCCGCCGCCGCCGCCCGCGCCCCCTGGCGACCGTTCAGGCGCTTCCCCGGCGTATCCCCGCGCCGCC